TCCCGGGGCAGTGCCGGGGACACTTCGGGGGGAGCAGGGGCACGTCTGGATACGGTCACTGCTGCTGCCTTGTTCTAAGTTCTGTCTGCCAGTCACTCCGCTGTCGCCGGCCCTGCACGGCGCCCGGTGACAGATGTGCTCACACACTCCTTCCCAGTAACATTCACCAGGCTCAGGGATCTGATGGTTAGGAATTGGGCATCTCGCAATTCCTCAGGAGGAGCTGATAGCTGCGTGGGTGATCCTATCTCTGTTTCCCGATGATTTGTTTTTTTGTCTTAATGGAATACATATTAAAAATTAAATGGGTTTAATAAAGAAAGAGGAACTGGGGATGGAAAGGGCTTCTTTGTTCTGTCTTCTCCAGAACGTTACAAGTCTAAGAGCTCAGGACAAGAGCAGCAGAAATACATGCAACATGGTGACTGGTGAGTCCAGATTGTCCACATGCTGCAAGTTGTGTGTGTGTTTTCAGTAACCTCAGTCTAAGTTTTATCAACTAACCGTATGTGCTCATGATCTTCAAAGAGTTTCCTGAACTTACTTCCTGGAAAAAATGCAGTTGTGCTGCACAGAGAGGAGTTACCTCCTTTTATTTGAGAAAAGGATCCAGGCATTGAGCTTTCTTTGGTTTTAAAATGCAGTGTGAAGAACATGCTGCAGAGATGCAGTGAGGGTGGGTGTTTGCCGTTTCTAACGTGTCTGTGGGGTAAATGCAATGCACAAATTAGCGTGTTTTAATAACTGACAGTAAGAGTGGTGACTGCAGCAACAAGCTGCATGTGCTGACCTATGAAAGCCTGTTGAATGCACACTGGAGCCTTACAGAGGTTTTCTGTCATAAATGCAGGTGGGTTTGGTTTTAGTAACGTTTCTGGGAGTACAACATTCCTGAATCTTCTTCCAGTCCTGGTGCTCCACTGCTGTGTAGGGTTTTGTGAGGTGCAGGTCTGAGTGCTTTAGTGCTTTTAGCAGCCTTAAAAGTGACAGGAGCAGCTCTGGGAGAAGCTTAGTCCAGCTGCGCTGTTCCCTGCAGGGTCTGTAACTCCTTTATGATTGTCAGAGTAGGAGAGCTGTAGAGAAACCCCAAGGAAGGTCCTGCTGCTGTTCCAGGGCAGGAACAAATGCCTTGTGGTGCAGTGAGGCTCTGATCCATGCCTGTAACTTGGAGTGCTCCAGGGGCTCAGATGACTGTTTCACTGAGGCATTAGTGGCTCTCAGTGTGATAACTTAAAGCTAATGTAAAGAAAGATTTATATTCCATGCTGTAAGAGAGGAAAAGAGATTCCTTCTGACAGCTTGTGACAGAGGGAGATTTACTAGTAGAGGGAGAGTGGCCTACTAGGCTCTTGATTTTGATGCTAACAAGAGCTAATTAAGATGGAACAGCTGAGCAGGGTCAAGGATTTGTATCTAAGAAATTAATGCTGTGTTTGTTCTGCTTCCTTGTGGTTAGAAGAGGGAGGTGATGGTTTGGTGGTGGACCTCTCCTTCATCTTTGGGCCTGCTGCTTATGCTTCTGGGTTTCTTGTGGCTTCTGGTCTCTGCTATGCAGGAGAATGATGTACCTGTGAGCAGCTTCTGACAGAAGGGTTGGAGTTCCAAGAGTAAAAGTGAGGGATAATGGAGAGCTGCTGTTGGAAACAGTGGCCCTGCTGACCTCCCTACTCTCTCCTTTGACAAGATTAACAGAAGGTGAATAGCTATTCCCTGAGTCCTTACAACATAATAAGCACCAATGCAGGAACAGGGAAGGCAGGTGATGTACCTGTGAGCAGCTTCTGACAGAAGGGTTGGAGTTCCAAGAGTAAAAGTGAGGGATAATGGAGAGCTGCTGTTGGAAACAGTGGCCCTGCTGACCTCCCTACTCTCTCCTTTGACAAGATTAACAGAAGGTGAATAGCTATTCCCTGAGTCCTTACAACATAATAAGCACCAATGCAGGAACAGGGAAGGCAGGGGAGGGGAGAGGTGAGCCCGTTGGGTTAAGCAGACAGCCTGTAATCTCGGAGAGTACCTGTGGTGTTCACATCTGGGATCCCAGCATGGCATCCTGGAGGGCTGTTCCTTGGAAGAGTGTTCCCTCCCAAAGCTGTACCTGCTAGTGCACCTCAGGGTGGACATAAAAAATGATTATGCTCTTCTGAAAGCCTCACTTTAGTGGTGAAGTCAAATACTTATAAGTTCCAGGTGTAAAACTGGGACAAATTAATTGCTGAAAGTGTTTTCCAGCATCAGAGTGTGTAACAGAGCATCTTAGAGTTGAATGAAAAATGCATTGGAATGTGCCTGGTGTAGGTCTTATCTGAGTCACCGTGGATGCATTAATGATGATGTTCTCCCTTGGATTCATCCTGGGCATATGGTCACCTGGAGAAGGGATACCATGTCCTGTAGTGCTCTACAATACTCTTGGGTGGCTCCTGGAGGAGAGACTAGTCTTACTGGCTCTATCATGCAGAGCTGGCCTGAAAATGTGTCAGATCAGTGTCTCTGAAAGGCAGGAGAACTGTTTTCTGCCCAGCTGTGGGCTCTACAGCAGCTTCTGTGTGCTGATATCCACAGAGCTGTTGGATTTGTCTAGTGAACACTGTTAACTGCTGCTTTTTTACTAAACATTGCTGCATGTTTTAAGACTTATTTTCTGTAGTAATCTCATACAGCAACAAATGTAGCTTAATGACTGCAGAGGCTATAGATAGAGCACAAGTTGCCTCATGTGTATTCCCCTTACCTTTGATATTAATTCTTTTCTCCTGTGAGCCTGGTCCAATGCACTAGCCATGAACCTCCATGTAAACAGAAACTCCTGTGTGTTTAGACTGTCACGTAACAGCAAAGAGGGGTTAGCATTTGCTCCAGCTCTCTCAGGTTTTGGTGATGATTGGAGCTGGACTTGGAGTGTGCTTAAGTGCCAGGGAAAGCCTATAGCTAACTCCAGTTTTCACACAGCCTTTTGCAGTCTTGTGTTCAACCACATATCTCTGCCTTGGCTCCTCTTTGTTAAATCATGGTAAAAGAATACCTGAAGTTCTGCTTTTGCACCTGTTCTCTTTAAAACTGCAGCCACAATGTACGTTTAGTGATGTATGTCCATTTTTCCCTTTATGCAGCTTGGTCTGGTAGTGCTGAATCACCTCTTCCACTCCTAATCTTGTGCTGTTTCACATCTTTTCACAACTGTCTCAGTATCTTGTGGTGTTACAGCTCAGATCTGTTTATGCTTTATCAAGGCTAATTAGTGCCTTAGATACAACCAGTGTACTCACTGCAAAAACAATTTGTGGGTTTAGACAAGATAAGTCAATAAGAGAAGAATGCTGTCAGAGCATACCCTAGAGCTCTCTGGTGTTCTCAGGTGGAGTCGTCTTTGTTGTTGTTGGTTTTTTCTTTGCTTTCACTTCCTTCCTGATTGTCTTACTTCTTTTTCTGTCCCTCTTTTGTGTTCATACATGGCATGTTTCATGTTAACTTCTTCCTATATTAAAAGGAGATCAAGAACTGATGTTGCTGCTGCCTTTGTCATTTCCAGAGCTTTGCTTCTCCATGTGTGTAGTTCCCTGTTTGAGGAGTCTCTCGATTCCAGTGCTCTCCTCTTGCTTGCAGTGTTCAAATCGATAAGGCTGTCCTAGTCCTAACAGCAATGGGCTGAATGCTGCATCTGTTGCTCTTCCCTTGTGCTTCCCATTAGTTGCCTAGAATAGAACTGCACGGCCTGATAGCACACACTGCTTGGCTCTCCCCTCTGTGGCTGCAGAGCAGGGCCACAGATATTGATTCCTGAGCCTCTCCCTAACAGTGCATGCTGCAAACTGACTGAATGTGTGACTGGATTTGTTCAGTACGGGACGTGCCTGGTTGGGGTGAAGCACAGAGCCAGAGGAGTTTACATGGCTCTGAGCTCTGTGCATAGTTCCACAGTCACACCTGGTTATCCTTCAGACTCCCCTGAGCTGCCAAGGGTTAATCTGAGAAATGTGTAGTAGCACAAGATGCCTCATAAAACTAAAGCATCTGTCTCAGGCATCTGGCTGTGCATGTTTGCTAGTTTTCATACAGTACTTGGTGTGAGAAATTAGTTACTGGAGCTGGGAATATCCTTGCATTGAAGCAGTGCTGTAGTTAAGACTTTCACTTTCTCTTTCCTTAAGGAACCCTGAGGACATTGCAATATGAATAATTCTCTGGAGAACACCATTTCCTTTGAAGAATACATCCGTGTGAAGGCACGAACGATCCCTCAGCACAGGATGAAGGAGTTTCTGGACTCCCTTGCTTCCAAGGGGCCGGAAGCTCTGCAGGAGTTCCAGCAGACAGCCACCACCACAATGGTGTATCAGCAGGGCGGCAACTGCATTTACACGGACAGCACAGAGGTGGCTGGGTCTTTGCTTGAACTTGCTTGCCCTGTGACAACCAGTATCCAGCAGCAAACTCAGCCAGAGCAGCAGATACAGGTTCAGCAACCCCAGCAAGTCCAGGTAAGCATCTTAAATCATCTCTAAATGTATATGTGACTTGCTAACCCATGGAGCAGTGTTCAGAGCCAGCTGCTGTCTAACCTGAAGCCTCAGACAAGTACGTAAGAGGCAGAGCCAATTAACTGTATATAGAACAGCAATGTTTTCCTTTCATTTAAGGAATTTGGTAGTAAATTTCCTTTGACTGTGCCTGCACTGAGTCCTGCTATAGGAGGAGCAGCAGACATAGCAATGGGGTGGTGTCACCTATTGGAGAAAGGGTTGACAGTTTTGGCATGCACACAACTCCCCAAAGCCTTGTGCTCTGTGAAGCTGCTATAAATACCAACCCCTTTGCCAGTCTGACTCTGGTTGGTTGGGGTGGCTGTGGGATCTAACTCACATTCAGGATTTTTTTTAAAATGAAATCAGGAATCTTTAAATGGTTTTACTTGGACATTCTGAAAGTTGTCATTCTTGAAGTGGCTTTTAAGTGAGGGAGAAATGCAAGGGAGTCATGTACGAACCAGGGGAAGATACCTTTCAGGAGAGGAGCTCTAAGGATGCAGATCCATCAAGGTAGATTATCCCTTTGCATAGTGGGAGGAGTCACCTTAATTTTTATTTTTTTTTATTAGGTATTACAGTAGTTTTTGTAAAGTACTAAAAGAGCAAATCCAGCACTAGAGGAAAAAATCCCCAAAGATATAACTTAGGCTAACTGCTGTTGTCCTCAGACACAGCTTGTAATTTGAAGAGTTTTACTGAGGTTTTCTTATGGTGTGTTTCCAAACAGCTGAACTATCAACAGCTGTAATTCTGATACACTTCAGATAGGAATCTTTCTGCCTTCTGTAGTAGAATGTAAAGCTGTGAGCTCTGTTCTTTTGCAACAAATGAGTGTATGGAGTCACAAATGACTGGAGATAAAGTGGTGTGAACTTGCTGCAGTGCAGTAGCCCTGTGCTAACAGCTCACTTGCATGCTTTTGTCCTACAGCAAAGACAAACTTACCTCCTTCACTGGTAACTGGTCTCCAATTTCTCTCTATTGAGGAAATGAATGCCTAACTGGGACTTCTGTAACCTGTTGCCCTACAGTAACTTGTCGTGAAAGGCTTTTGAAGAATAAAAGCCTCTGGTCTCACGAGCATGACTTGGATCTCTGTGTGAGGCTCTTAGAACTGACCAGTGGGTTTGGTTCTGCAAGCTAACATGTTTTCTGGGGGAAGTTTTGTTTTTCAGTAGTGGAACTAGGTGGGTTGGCTTTTGGGTGCCTCAGCCTGGAAGATGTGGAAGGTCCCCAAACCAATTGTAAAAGTCACAAGGAATCTCTTTGTTTTGGTTTGGGGTTTTTTTGGTCTCTCTTTTTTTCCCTCTTGCTGCCTCCTTTCAGAACTACTCAAGTTCAGGCTTGACCCTTGCAAGTTTTCCAGTAACAGAGATAGGGAGGGAGGTCATGTATCATATGTTCCAGAGAGAAATAACCTGACCTTCTTGAAAATAAGCACAGAGTTACTGCCAGAGACGTGCTCCTGTTTTTTTAAACTGAATGGCTGCACCCTGAACATGAAAAATACTTGATGAAAGTCAAGGTTTCAGCAACTTTCCTGAAGCATATTGTCAGCTCTCCCCCCTTGTTTTTGATGTGCCTCTGCTTTTAAATACCTGCTTTCCCATCTGTCAGTACGGATCATAATTAGCGTTTGTGTGCCTACCCTGCTGCTCACTTCAGGGTGTTACAACCCCCCAGAACATTTAGGTGGCACATCTGGTACCGGCTATGGCTGCAGCTTTTGTGCATCAGCAGTGCATATGGACTCAGGTGTATTTGAACAGCTAGCTCAGAATTATCTTGCAGTTTTTCTACAAGAATGGGGTGGACAAGAATGTCCTTACCCTTTTGCAAGAGGGTTTTTCTGTCTTTCAAGATTTTACTTTTTATCAGGACATGATTTATATTAAAGCCATGATTTAGTGTTCAGTTGTCTCAAGACTGTCACTGTAGCAGCAGTGGCAGTGCACAGGGTGTGAACAAAACTGGATTTTGTTGTGGCTCTGAGAGTGACAGTGTTCCAGCAGAGCAGAGCACCTGCTCCAGCTGGCTCCCTTTGCCAAAATACTGCTTGTCTTGTATTAGGACAAATTTTGGTCATCTGCCGAAGCCTCTTAGCTTTTGATTAAACTCATGTCAACCTGGTGCTTGACTTGATAATCTATTTAGTTCTTGCTAATCCAATTGCAGATCAGTGGAAGACCCTTTGAATGACTGTGCTTATGCCTGGCAGTGTGACAGTGCTGCTGAAGGTGACTAACATTATGACCAGTCAGGTGGCCTCAATGTTTGCAAGTGCTGCTGGTGACCTTAGGATCATAAAGATAGTTCTCAGGTTTCATGCTAGATTTTCCTTGCTGTGAATAACCAAAGACAGTGTGTGACTGCTGCTTTTATTTATTCTGGCAAAATATATTTCCTGTTTGAAGAAGTTGCCACATTAAGGTTTTCTTGCCTAAAAAGTTCAACAAAGAGTTGCCAAATGTTTGTTTTAACAGCTGAGTGGATGCAACTGTTGGGTTATATACACTAGTCAGTGCACAGTCAGGTGTCCCAGATATCCTTCCATGCCCAGTGTCACTGCAGTGCCATTAGTGATCTTAACAAAGAGTTGGTCCTGTGTCTTGAGGCCATTGTATGGATGATGCCAGTGAGCAGAGGTGTCAGCACTGACTTGCTTACCCAGTATGGTATTTCTGCAGAGGTCAGTGAACCTCTTGTGCCTCTTCGTCCTCCACAAGAAGATTTAACTGAAAAGAGGACAAAGTACCTTTGCTTAGGTTGCATGTGGGGAAGATCCTCAGTTTCAGCTTTTTATGAACAGTCTGATATTTAGATGGAAAGAGCTTCTTGAGCAGGGCATGAGAGAATACTACAGAACTGTATAGAGAATGGTTAAATGCCTGTGTGAAATACCTTTCAGCTAAGCCTTTCTAATTGCTTTGTGTTTACTGTTCAGCTTTGTCTGCCTTCCCCCAGTCTATTCTGTGACTTCAGACCATTATAGGGAACTGGACATTATTGATGACACAAGGCAGAGAAAGATGACCTTAAATAGCTTAGAAAAAAGCCTTACATCTGATGGTGCACAGATTGCATCTTTCCTTTGCTTCTGATGGGTGTAGCTTCCCCCTGCCCCTATCCTGAGTTTGAAGTTTAGCTTGGAGGTGTAGAGCTCCTGTTTGCTTACCTTTTGAAAAGCATGCCAATATGAGGCTGGTGTATTAATCAGCATTGCTAGGGCTGAGGGGGACACTCCAAAGAGTGATTATAGCCAAGAATGATGTTTTCAAGGTAGCACCTACTTGTATGTGCCAGCAGGCATCTGTTGGAGAGATAAGCTGGGTTTCCTTTATGTGTTCTAACTGTCTTAGGCCCAAATCCCCCCCAGTGTACAGTTTGACAGCATGATCTTGATAGTGTAACTTTTCAAACACACCCAAGGCCTAATTTGGCTGATGGAATTCTCTCTCTGACGTTGATGAATGAGCAGAGGGAAAACCTGGAGTGAGAATCTGTCTGGCAGTTGTTCTGTAAAGCTCACTTGTACCCTTCCTGGAGACCTTGTTTACTTAGATAGCAAAGCACTTCCTGTAAAGCAGTTAAATAACAAGTTCCAACATTTCCTGCTGCTCCACTGATCAGTCTTTTCACCTACTCTGTGCTTCAGGTCTGTTTTGCACTTGCCTGTGCACTGTCTGGTGTGACATTAGAGGGAACTCTTTGTTACGGTGTTAGTTCTGGTGCTGGACTCCAGGACTATTGTTGCAGGAAGTGTCTTTTAAGCCTTCTGTCCTTAAATTGTGCTATAAAATTGAGAGTGCTCTTCTCATGCTTCTCACTAACTTTTTGTCCAAGTGTTTGACTCCATGTGGGAAGTTTGAGATGCACTCACCTTACTTCTGGGGGGGATTTGGAGTGTACTTCCTGCAGTTAAGTTTGCTGCCTGCCCCTCTTACCTCTTGTAGGTTTGGAGCCTGTCATTTGGGGCTCCCTTCAGATGAAACTAAGCTGTAAGATGCAGTCTTGTGTCTCTGTGTTCGTCAAATTTGGCTAGTGGACAAGACTAGACCTAAGTTTTAAATAGTCTTCTGAAATATATAGTGTGGACGTGTTAGTAGGTCATCAGTCTTGCTCTGAAGGTCTGCTCTTGGTGTGTATCACTACTTGCTAGTGTAAATGTAGCTTCAGAAACCAAGATCTGTTTGAAAACAGGCGCATAAGAGCCTGTCAGATGCTCCAGGGCAAGCTAGATATCCAAAAATCCATGCAGGAAAAAGGTATATGTGCTCATTTGGAGTTAGGTTTTTGGATATATTAGGTAATCCAGTAAGTCTGCAGATGAAAGAATTACCAAGCAAAGAAAATCTCAGCTGAATTGTTTCAGATTTGCAGTTCTGCAGTCTGATTCCTTGTTGGGCAGAGAATCTGTGCAGGGCAGACATGTTATGATCCTACTTGAAAGTTTGTCTGTCCACAATGAGGAAAAAAAACTTTTGGCAGCCAGGCTTCAGCTGTTCTCACGCTCGTGCAGTTACTTACTTTCTCTTTGCACGTGCTTGGTGCCGCATAGAGTAGGTTTTTGAGCTTGGTGTGACAGATTTCTTTAAGGGAATCTTAAAAATGGAGTTCTGCCCTCCTGTTATGATACTGGGTTGGTTTCTAATGCTTTTGAGTCTCCAGTCAGCTGGTCCTTGATCCAACTTCTAGCTATGTTACGGTGAAAAGGCATTTCTCTGTGTGATGGTAGCCTGCTGGGAAGTGTTTCTTTTCATGCTGTTGGATCCAGACTTCTGGCAATAAATAGTTTTTCAGTACTGGTAACTTGGTATGTTCCTCTCTTGCACCAGTATAACCCAGGAATTCCCAGCATAACATGTTTTTTGCTTTAATCTTCAGCGTAAAGTGAAGATTTAAAGTCCTCCCTGTTGGTCTTGGCCTGTAAATTTAAAACATTCTCCTTTGTACAGAGTCTTTTAAAAAGTCATCTGCTGATGATGCTTAGTGTAATCCTTTGTCTGACTTTTTTTCTGTCATTGAAAAGGACAATGAGGTCAGTGCAAGAAGCTCTGGTCTCAGACTGGGTTGAAGTCTATAGGTCTGAAATGAATGCTTGTAGCACTCCTGGGTACAACCTACTTGAAAATAGGGAGGGATCTAGTGCAAGATATGGTTGTTAAAAATGGATGTGTAATTCACAAGGGATGTGTAATGTGTGGTAGGTAGAGCTCCAGTATCCTGTTGAATAGGAGCAGTCTCTAGTCAGAAGCATAATGCCTGCAGTTTGCAGCACAGAGAGCTTCAAGTGATTCTGGGCTTATTCGTCTTGTTTGGGTCTGGACACATTCTTTGTGTGTAACAATAACAGCGTGAACTCTAAAACAGGAGCAAGACATTCCAGCTGTAGGAGTTAGGTTTAGTCCTGGGGGAGTATTGTAGGGCCTCAGGGCAGGGCTGCTCATCTGCTGAAAGGGATGGAAGTTGCCTGTGACTTTTGGAGACTGTAGGCTCAGTCTCTGAAGTGGTTAATGGTTCAGAGTTGTGCCAGGGGTGGTTCGGATTGGACATTAGGAAGCATTTTTTTACTAAGAGAGTGGTCAAACATTGTAACAGGCTTCCCAGAGGAGGTTGGTGCTGGTGTGATAAAATTGTTTCAGCGCAGGAGCAGACTTCGAATTTTTACTGCTAGTAGAAGTCTTTATGTTACAGCACTAACTGGAACTGTGATGTAAAATTTTGTATGGAAAGAAGGCTGGGGGTATTTTTAAGGTGCTCTCAGTCAACCTGTTCAAATGTTGAAAACACTGCAGAAGTACAGGACAAATGACATGTTCATCTCTTTCTGTGATTTTTCAATCCTAGTAGATAAAGCAAATGTTTCTCATGTGAAACTAAAAATATATCAGTGCAGTAATGCATTTAATTTGTACACTCTTTGGCCTTTGCCTTGCAGGTAATCATTTGAACAAGGACTTAAATTAATACTAAGGACTGTGTTAGTGATTTTTGAACTTGGATATTGTGGAGAATACTTGCCTTAGAGGTGTAATTGAAACTGGCTTTCTTAAACTGAATTCTTCCCTGGGATCCATGCTTGGGCCTCTTTGCCCAAGGCAGAACTTGTGCTGGAGGGCAGTATGATATTAAATAGAACTGAGGAAACATCCCATAGGTGACTTCATCTTTTTCAATTAAGTGCCTGATCAAATCACTCATTGATGCAGCTTTTTAAGCTGTCATGCTGACATAAGGTCACGTGTTTCTAGTTACCTTGCAGGAAATTATAGAGTCCACGTCATCTGGACTACAGTATACTGCACGTAATTCCTAGCAGGAACCTGCACAATTCCCTGTTCTTCCTGGAAATAGATTAATTCTTAACAGGAGGTGACTTATAAAACTGGTCTGCAAGTGGTGCGTTTTGCTGCTCCACTTTTTTCCTTAGCAACTCTTACTTAGCTGTAAATGAACCCTTAATGTTTTTGAAGGCTTGTTGGGGGTGCTGTTGGGAAGTGAGAGCCCATGCAGTGCAGGCCTGCCTGGTAGTGCTCTTTGGCATTGTCGGGCTAACTGGTGTGGCATCTCTGTGCAAACGCTGCATTAGCTTGGCCAGCTCCATGAAGTGAGGCAGAAAAAGGTGAGAGAACATGAGTAGGAAGACATAGTTTTGCAACTAAGCAAGTCTGTGTTGGCTCCAGAGAGAGGTGTTGAGTAATTAATTCCCTCCCTTAAGATAAGGTGTTAATGAAGCCTGGAGAAGCAGATGATCATGGGAACCTGGGATATCGCTTCTAGGACAAGGCAAATGCAACAAAAAGTGCCTGTGCAAACGGAAGGGACAAAGTGGAGAAGTGTCTGGACAAGAAGAGCAGACCTCACTTGGTGCCCTGGGAATGAAGATAGCAGCTGGGTTGGGTTTGAGGCCTGGGATGTGAAGCTGCTGAGACCTAAACTTTGTGCTGGGGCCACCTCTGACTCCTGGCTATAGGTCTGCTGCTTGATAGTGTGACAGACCTTGGACAAATGAGCATTGGTGTGAGAGGGTGTGATTTATTTTTTCTCCCCTCTAAAACAGAAGGAACTGGTTTGGAATCAAGTCAACATATTTTGCCTGTGTTATTCAGCATTGTGTAAGTGCATGAACTAGAAAATACAGCTGAGTAGTTTGGACAATAAATGGTATTAAATGGAATAAGTAAATAATAAAAAAATTTGGTTTAGTTATCATTGCTAAAGAAATACTTTCTAAGTTTGAAAAACAAATGCTGCAGTGCTGACCCTTAGTGCATGACAGGGATTGAGGCTGAACTCACAGCTTTGTGTGTTGACACATGCTGGTGTCATGTTATTATTAGCGATCGGTTTCGAAGTAATATTCCTGTGCTTTCTGTGGAAAGAGCCAAGTGCTGGTTTCGATTTACCCATATTTCTTACTGCCTGTCACCAGCAAGTGATCCTGCAGCAGTCTGGGGAGTGGGGTGGAAAGTGGTAAAAGAATCTTTCGAGCGTGGTAAGGATGAGGTGAGCTCCTGCAATTGTCATGTGCGTGACCTTAAAGCCTTGCTATTGCCAGGCCTATGCTGAAATAACCTTTTAGCAATGCAGATGGCTCTGAAGACTCTCTTGGTTTCCAGGGGTGCAATCTGTTGGCTTGAGCCCACAGAGCTTTGAGGATGGAGATGTAGCTCACACGCCGTTCTGTCTGTGCTGGGAAGTGTGGTCACGTGCAGTGCTGAGCAAACACATCTAATGTATTGCCGGTATCAACCAGGCACTTCTAGAATAACTTGGTTTCATGTTCCTCAGGATCTTTACTAATGAATTAATATGTGGAATCATAAAATTGAGCATAGCTCTTCAGTGGTGAAGATCTCTGTTGAATCACTGGTGCTGATCCCTAACTGCTGAACTGGTGTCGTTGCAGGTTCAGGTCCAGGTGCAGCAGTCACCGCAGCAGGTGTCCGCCCAGCAGCTCTCTCCACAGCTCACTGTCCATCAGGCTTCGGAGCAGCCAATACAGGTCCAGGTTCAGATCCAAGGCCAGGCACAGCAGCAGGCATCCCAGACAATACAGAGTCAGTCTCTTCAGAGCCCCAGCCCATCGCAGCTGCAGGCAGCTCAGATCCAAGTGCAGCATGTGCAGACTGCCCAACAGATCCAGGCTGCGGAGCTACAGGAGGAACACATACAACACCAGCAGATCCAGGCCCAACTTGTGGCGGGACAGGCCATTACTGGTGGCCAGCAGATACAGATCCAAACAGTCGGGGCATTGTCACCTCCACCTTCTCAACAAGGCTCCCCACGAGCGGGAGAGCGGCGGATCAGCTCCGCGAGTGTCCTGCAGCCAGTGAAGAAGCGTAAAGTGGATATGCCTATTACTGTATCGTACGCTATTTCGGGGCAGCCGGTTGCCACAGTGCTGGCCATTCCTCAGGGCCAGCAGCAAAGTTACGTCTCTTTAAGGCCAGACTTGTTAACAGTGGACAGTGCCCACCTGTACAGTGCCACTGGGACCATTACTAGCCCCACTGGAGAGACTTGGACCATCCCCGTTTACTCCGCTCAGCCGCGTGGTGACCTTCAGCAGCAGAACATCACCCACATTGCCATCCCTCAGGAGGCCTACAACGCTGTCCACGTCAGCGGCTCGCCCACGGCACTGGCTACTGTGAAGCTGGAAGACGACAAGGATAAGATGGTGGGAAGTACTTCAGTAGTGAAGAACTCTCACGAGGAAGTGGTGCAGACTCTTGCTAATTCCATCTTTCCAGCACAGTTTATGAATGGCAACATCCACATTCCAGTGGCAGTGCAGGCTGTGGCAGGGACATACCAGAACACGGCGCAGACGGTGCACATATGGGACCCGCAACAGCAGCAGCAGCAGCAGCAGCAGCAGCCCACACCCCAGGAGCAGGGGCAGCAGCAGCTACAAGTCACTTGCTCAGTAAGTTAAAACCGCTTCTTAGTCTCAGTCTGTCATTAACAGCTTGCAGATGTTGTGGAGAGGGAGTGTGTCAGCCGACAGCTGGTATCTAGGAAGCAGAGATGCATCTGTCCCAGTAGCCTGGGTGTGACATAGGGCATTTGACTCCTGACAGGTGTAAAACTGCAATGTGTTAATGTTGGTACGTAATTATAGGATTCAAAACTTCCCAGAGGATAATGCAGTCTTGATCTTCGTGTAAATTAATAGATACATGCTTGTTGCCAGCTTCTTCCTAGCAGGTGTTCTGAGGTCTGCAGTCTTCTGAGCTGTGCTAGGGGTTGCAGAGGACAGCCAGGGATAATTGCAGCCAAATAAGGTATGCAATTATATACTAGTCACCTAGTTGTCAGTTACTTTGTGTTATGCAGCACGTGGAGACCAGGGCAGATCCAGTGCTCACGTAAAGTGTTGAAACCTGACTAGTTGTGAGCAAGCCTCATGGATCAAGTGTACTGTCTGTAACACTGTGTCCTGCTCCTGGTAAATGCCTGGTGTGCAGGAGCACAGGAGTGAGCAGTGGCAAGTAAGAACCCCTTCACAGTCTGTGGCAAATGTGGCAGCCACATACGTTGCTCTTTTTTTTAAAGGCTTTGTTGCTAACTTCAAGCCATAGATTGGCTTTTAAAACCTGAATAACCAGAGCTATTGGTTGTCTCTCTTATATGTGCAAACGGGTGTAATTTGTGTTTTATTACCAGAAAGTGAAAAGTGATTGATCTGCCAGAGCCTGTTTTTGCTGTACGGAATGAGGACAAAAATACCCAAGTCTGCTAGGATAAATGTTGTTATAAATTCCTTCCAGTTTATAAATAACACTGTTGGCTTTATAAAGGCATATATGCCCTCTGCTTTATCAGTAAGCACCGAGACAAGGAGCATTACTTTCTGTAGTCATGTCTGATCCTTTCAGAGTTGATCGTAGGCTATAGCCTACCAAGGTCTCTGCCAAAAAGGGTTCCCTACAGCTGTAGACAGCTTTCAGGTGGTGGATGCCCTGTTTTATAAACCTTTGCTTTAAGCTACAGCTTGTGGGTCTTGTAATGCACGGGGGATTGTGGGGTTATTTGTTTTTTTTTTTTGTTTTGTCATGTCCAAAGAACCTTCTGTAGCTCATCTCTTTCCTTGATTGATAATTCAGAGATCACTTCATCACTTTCAGTTGCTTAAGCAAACTAAATTGATGGAATGTTTTTAGCTTTTCTCCTAAATAGCATTTTTAGACTTATTCTAGGGTCTTTTAAGAACATGAACCACATTCTTGGGATCCTTCAGGAGGTATTAGCTCCATAATTTCTTCAGTGGTTACACTGCATCAGCAGAAGCTTTACAAGTATTTGTGTGTACAGTGGTCTGCAATTCTTGGGTGTCAGACAGTTTTCAGGTCCCAGTTCTGTAGAGTGCAGGGTGTGGCATACACCCCTAAATACAGAGGCAATTCCAGGAAGAATGTGCTCTTCCTCTAAGAGGGCAATAAAGCTCCTATAGGTCAATGTCTAAACTTCCAAACCAAGAAGGAATTTGCTGCCTGCCCTGCACTGCCCTCTGGCATGTTTTGCTCATTTTTATTTGTGAAATATCTAAGTCAGTTAAGAAGCAACTGTCAGTTCAGGAAATTACCTCCAGCCTGTGCTCAGCCTTCACACTGGACAAAGTGCTGTGAGGTGAGGGCAGAAGACTGTCCCTTGGGTTGGGCTGACAGGGGTTTGGCTCTGGAAAGCTTTCAGCTCTGCGAGAGTAATGGGGCAGCACTCTGGAGGAGAGGAGAGGCTCCTGCAAAGGTGTCAGTTCACCCTTGGACTCTGTCCTCTCTCAGGCAGGGGCTGCACAGCTTAAGCTTTGTCGCCATCTGCCTTGACTCAAGCTGGGCCCTTTCAGTCAGTCCCTCTGCAGCTGTGCTACAGTCTGCTGCTGCTGCTGCAGGGTCTGATAAGCAAAAAGCTATTAAGAGCTGATGCAGAAAATTAAAAACCAATCAGAGGCAGCCAGAAAGCTCCAGTCTGACCTGAGGAGACTTTGCCTCTTAAGCTGATGTTTTTTAAGGTACAGGTATTAAAAGTCTCTGTGCTATTTTTTATGGTCTCTAGTACTGTCAGAGCAACTTTCACTGATGATTGACACTGGCGATATCAAAGGAGAAGCTGTTTTTTGGAGTAGCTCTTAAGAAGGAGAAAGCAAAACTGTTTTGGTACAAGAATCACTATCTCTAACATTCAGGGTGCCAGAGAGTTTGACTAAGGTCTGTAAAGCCCTTAAGTCAGGTACCCATGAGGCTTTCTGTGGCATGGAATTGAGAAGCTGCAGTGAAGAATGCAGGGTGCAGCTGGAGGGCTCACTGCTGGTTTTGGATTTGTGCCATTGCTTGCCTGATGAATAAGTTTCAGTTTGAGGTGGTAATTCTTGGTGACCTAAGGTCTTGCTGCAAAGTAAACTCCAAAGGGTCTGGAGATGCTTTAGGTTGGTAGTAGATCATACAATCACTTTCCACACAATAGTAGCTAGTCCTCATTAGCAGTGTGTGGCATTTTGACAGCATTGCATTGCAACTGAATTGGTGTTTTAATGCTGGTGCTCTAGTCCCATTGCTTTATACCTCTTACAAATGAATGAATCTTATCTGTCATTGATGATAAGAACAGTGTATTTGTTCTGTCTGCCTGTTGTGTTCTGCATAGTGAAGAGAGCCTGACTTGGGAGGGATACTAGCAGCATAGAGCATGTGACAGTCTGGGCAGTCTGGGTTTGGTAGAGCAGTGGTTAGTAAAGCTGATGGCACCTTCCTGTCCTTTCCTGCCAGGGGCTGGTGATCCCTCCAGCTGCTGTGTCTGCAAGGGGCTGTGAGCTGCTCTTGTAGTAAGGTGATAGACTTCAGTAATGGTTCAGAGTGACGAGTTAGCTGAAGTAGATCTGTCCATTCAAACTAAAACTATTCTTGGAATACTCTGTTGTGAGCTGCAATTCAGGTTGGGTAGCAAAAGTTGCATTCCTTGGATGAATTTGTTAGAGAGGAGTGTTGCAGAAGGCTGGTATCCTGGGGATAGAGGTACTGTGGATTGCTTGGGTTTTATCCCAGCTGTTGCATATTGAAAGTGTGTGTATAAACCTAAGTGTTTTGTTTCATAGGCTCAAACTGTTCAGGTTGCTGAAGTTGAACCACAGCCACAGCCACAGACTTCACCTGAACTTCTACTTCCAAACTCTCTGAAGCCAGAGGAAGGTCTTGAAGTGTGGAAGAGCTGGGCACAGACCAAGAATGCAGAGCTGGAAAAAGAAGCCCAAAATAGGCTAGCACCTATTGGAAGTAAGTGGCATGAAAGCATTGCCTTTGTTTCCTTTCAAGTAGGGTTAGGAATGACTAAAATGTTAGCTGTTTACTGCTCTGGAAAACACCTTTGTTTAATCAGTGATTGTTTTTAAATTTGAACTTTGTTTTACTCTTCAGCACTGATTATTGTCTACTCTCACTGCCACAGGACATGTTCCAAGGGAAGTATGAGCTCTGTGCTGAGCTGTCTTGAGCACTAGGCTGATAGGAGTAGGAAAGGGCACTGCATGACTGTGATGCATGGACAAACTGGCTGTGAGTGCTGCCCAGGCTGGTAGAGCAGTCATGGAGTTGCTGCTTTCCTGTTGCTGCAGGGCAGCATTTCATTGTGGACATGGTAAAGGAAGGCAGTAGTCATGCATTTGGTAGGGCAGAGGATGTTCTGTGAAACTCTTTGCCATTTTATCTTCTAGTAGATCTGACAGCCTAAAATCTTGATTTATTTCAGCTTGCTTTATTATACTGGGGGAATGAGGTAGTACTGGACCTGCCAGATAGAATGGCAAAGCTGGAGATATGGGAAATCATTCCTTTAATACTGGGAAACAATATGACCTTGTATTAAATAATACAGCTTTGCTTCATTTTTCCAGGGCGTCAGCTGCTGAGGTTCCAGGAAGATCTCATCTCTTCAGCTGTGGCTGAGCTGAATTATGGTCTGTGCTTAATGACACGAGAAGCTCGAAATGGTGATGGTGAACCCTATGATCCAGATGTGCTCTACTATATCTTCCTGTGTATTCAGAAGGTAGGGCAGGACAGCTGTCCATGCCACAGAGCTGTGCATGTTGTCAGCATGTGTAGGGAGGACTCTTGGTTCTAAAAAATTGAGTCTGTGGCTTCTATTAAGCTTCCAGATAATTTCATAGGAAAAAAGTCTCTCTGCTTAAAAAAAACCCCCAAAACCTCAGATGACTTGTCACTAGTACACAGCAATGCTTTCACCTACAGGTCAGGTTGGTGAAGAATAGTTAATAAATGAGTTTGGTATCATGGTGAGAATAATAAATCCTTTTATTTTTTTTGGTGGGTGGAGAGTGGTTGGACAATGTTTGAAGAAGTCAATATCAAAACCTAATCTAGTTGAATTTGTAACAGGCAAGCACTTAGCTGTGTGTGGTATGGAAAGTCTGAGCTGGTAATGTTAGTGTGTTTCTGGGAAAGCTGCAGGAACAGAGCTCAACTCTGGCAGGGGAATTGAGCATCTCTGTCATTAACCTAAAGAAGTAGTGTCCGAAGGAGAGTCACGTGAAATAACTTGTAGTGAACACTCCTGAAGTAAAAGGTGAAATCCAATCAGCTTTACTTTGTAAGATGATTTTTCCTTTTTCTGTCTTGGCATTCCCGTGATAGTAACTGAGATGACCTGCCCAATACTGGCCTTGGTGCAAGGTCCTCACTCTTGCAAGTAGCATCTATTAGTCTTCAGTGCTGTGCTGTAAAATGCTTAAGTAGCAGAGTATGTGGGCCCTTAGGATAAAGCCTGGTGTGAGGAACACAGTGGCTCCCACTGTACTGGACTGTGCTGTGAATCTCTTGCAGTATCTCTTTGAAAACGGCAGAGTCGATGACATCTTCTCAGATCTCTACTATATTCGGTTCACTGAGTGGCTGCATGAAGTGCTCAAGGACATACAGCCCCGTGTTTCCCCTCTTGGTAAGGACTTTTGTTTAAGAACTTTTAAACCGTCCAAAGTTTGGAATGTTTAAACTGAACCTACAGCATGAGTGTAGTCTGAATGGAAACCCTTTTGAAGTGTTTAATGTCCCTGGAACAGCTTGTGCTGGTCAGGGAGAAAAATGTGTCTGCAGTGAATGCTGAGGTTGCTGCACTTGTCAGGCTCTAGCCCTGATTGTTGTTGAGCATTATTTGTTTATCACTTGTCACCCATCAGAAGGCAGATTGTTGGGATTTTGTAGTGTCATGACATTGGCTCACTTGGAAACCAGCTGATCCTTCATTTGAGTCAAGCTTCCTCGTCTGAAGTGCTCATACATCTTGCCTCTAAAATGTATTGTTACTTTGGGAGATAATACAGCACTGTCATGGTGCCATGTAGCCAGATGGATACTGTCTGCAGGACCAACTGAGTGTCTAAGGGAGAAACAATGAGTGGTTAGAAAAAATCATGAGTGATTGCAGCACCTCCAGTGCAATCAATTGCAGCTCAACCTCTGGTGTAGGAGACGATGGCAGCAGGGCTGGGGGAGCAGTTCCAGAAAAGACAGATTTGGGCAGAGTTGTGTATGAGAAGTAAATTTAAGGACTGCATTTTCGGAGCATGGAAAGCTGGTTTCTCATTGCTTCATTCCCTTTGGCCAGGCTGGACATCAGTGAAGAACCTATTGCATGTGTTCAGAAGAGTAGCTGATGTTACAGGCCAGGTTAGATGTTAGATAGCTAAGTAGCACAGTGAGTTTTGGAATCCTTTTGTTTTCACTCTGTTTTATCTGTGCTTTGTCATTCCACAAGCCCTGGAGTTCATGCTGCTCTCTGTTTTTTGTTTATCTGTGTATTTGGAGTGTAGTGTTTCTCTTCTGCACAAAGGGAAAAAAAGTCTGAGAATCAAAGGATTACTCATGTGTCCAAATACATCACTTGGCACTGTGTGCTGACTAAAGCTGCACACAGGGCCAAGAGCTGATTTGTTACACTGGGCTGTCTGCTCTCACATATTATTGGATTAAGAGCATCTGCATTAGAGTCAAGCCATTAATTGAAAGCTGTTTAAGTGCATATTTCTTTCTCTCTGGGCTGGGATGTATAGGTGTGTTGCAGAAGAATACCCTCCGCAGCTAGAGGTTGATGTACGTATACAAGTGTTTCCTAACTGTACCTGCTACTTAGTTATTTGCACAGCAGTGAATCTTGACATCAGTGAGAATCTCCTCCTTCTCCTTCCCTTAAGATTCCTATGCCCTCCAATACTTGCAGACTATAGAATGCTGCCTGTGTTCATGCTGTGTCTGTCTCTTGGCGTGATGCTGACTTCTGGTTATTGCAGGTTACATCCTCTCCAGTCACGTAACAGAAGAGATGCTGTGGGAGTGTAAGCAGCTTGGAGCTCACTCCCCTTCCACCTTGCTCACTACGCTGATGTTTTTTAATACAAAGTAAGTACTTAGGTCTTTGGGAATCTTGAGGAATGAAAGAACTTCAGACACCTTGACAAGGCTGGTGGGAAACTGCTGCACTGGATCAGGGCAGAATCACGAGTTTGAGTGGTTGCACAGAGAGCCTGCTTGCAGCCCATCAGGCAGAGCAGTATGGCAAGGAAGTGTGCTAGCAGAGGGGAAACTGAACTTGTGGCTGTTGAATGCTTTGCTGCTGGAAAAGTCTTTTACTCAGTGGCTCATGATGACTAAAGATAACTGCCTTGCTTTTGTGACTGTGTCCTTTACTTGCCTCTGAATGTTCTGTCTTCTCTTCCTGCTGCTCAGATACTTCCTGTTGAAAACAGTAGACCAGCACATGAAGCTGGCCTTCTCCAAGGTGCTGAGGCAGACCAAGAAGAACCCTTCTAATCCCAAGGACAAAAGCACGAGTATCCGCTATATGAAGGCTCCAGGCATGCACCAGACAGGACAAAAAGGTAGTGTCTAGGAGTTTTCTTTGGGAATATTTACTTACTGGGCTTGAAGGAAGTGGATGAACCTGGAGATGTGTGCAGGTAGGGAACCCAAGGCTCTACCAGTTACCTTCAGCCTAGCTGTATGAGTTTCCTGTGTATTCTGACCAGGATGGCAGAGTACCTTTTAATCATAAACCTGGAGACATACCTTACCTGAGGCATGTGGAACTCATCAAGAAATGAGGATAACCTTTCTGTTACTTTTGGGGTTTTATTGGTAAAGGGGCTAGTGGGTGGAAATGCTTATGTACAGAAGGAGAAAATTCTTTGGAAGAGCTTCTTTTGGTTCATGTGAAGCTATACAGAATCCCTGTGTGAGACCTCTTAAAAGCACAGGATTTACTAAGGCATCTAGTAGTGAGATTTCCCTCATTTTGGACACTGGTTGAGGGAAAAATGGAAAGAAGGATATGGATGGGTTGTGACCTTCAGGAGCCTTGGGATAAAGCAAGCTCTCCATATAATGCTTTGAGTGTTTATATCCAGGTGCCTCTGCCCTGGAACAGCCATATGTCTCTTGCCTGGTGACAAGGTGCTGCAGAGGCTGTATGGTACTGCTCAGGGTGCTGTACTTACACAGTGTCTGACTGTCTTCTGGGGGGCTGGTTTGTAGTTACAGATGACATGTATGCAGAGCAGACTGAGAATCCAGAGAACCCCCTGAGGTGTCCCATAAAGCTGTATGACTTCTACCTCTTCAAATGGTGAGAGCTCCTGTCTGTGTGTGTCTTGTGTGCCTGTGGAGCTGCATCCTGCAGCTGGCCTGGATTTCAGGGCTGTGTTACTGCTGGCACAGTTTCTGTGGCTGCATAAATTTACTTAAATGGAGAGGGGTGTTGCTGTGAGAGTGTGGGTTTTACTGTGATGGCACATAAGTTGAACTTTTATTTATTTAAAAGAGGCAAATCCTGATTTGTGAACTGGCTGCACTTCATCTAATACCTGGAGGTTTGCTGTGTTGGCATGAGCTTGCTGTTCTGCCTGGGTGTTGTAAGCAAGTCATCTGGAAACATTCACTACTGGAAATTAGATTAGGGTCCTATTCAAATCAGTTTCTGAATCAAAATGAGGACTTGCTGTGGAGATTGAGGAAGCCTCAAAGGACTTGCTTCTAAATTATGATGATTCTGATAATTAATGTAAGGGCTCCTCTGCACAGATGGGTCTGCAGCTAGCCTGAATGTGAAAATACCCCATCCTTGCTTCACTCTGAAAGACCTCTAGAGCCATGTGTGTGTTACACTTACCCAGTGTGAAATCAAAATTGCTTTATTGTAGCCATCCCCATGGCTTTTTAACCTAAGCATGGCCTAAAAGCTTTGGGACCAATGTTGCCCCTGGGTGTAACTTTGTACCTTCATGTATCATCAGCCAGACGTTCACTGTCAGGATTTGTGAGGCCTGGACTGAGGAGAGCGGTGGTCTCTCCCTTCCAGGACATTCTGTTAGTCTGGTTATTTCTGATCTTCTTCACACAGCCCCCAGAGTGTGAAAGGCCGGAATGACACGTTTTACTTGACACCGGAGCCGGTGGTGGCCCCCAACAGCCCTATCTGGTATTCCATCCAGCCGATCAGCCGAGAGCAGATGGAGCAGATGCTCACCCGGATCCTGGTGATACGAGAGATTCAGGAAGCTCTTGCCGTGGCTAATGCCAGCACCATGCACTAAGGCATCCTTCGTGGCTCAGAAGGGGTGGGGAGGGGTGATGGGGGAGGGACAAGCAAAGATAAATTGTACAGACTTTTACACTAAAGGAGATGCCTAAGTTTTTGGTTTTTTATTGGTGTAGTTATGAAGCCCTTTTAGGCTTCTTCTCTTTAAAAGAATCTAAAGGAAAACCTACCCATTGTGTATCCTACCCAAAACACCAAACTGTTGGAACCACTGGAGGCTGCATATCCCCTGCGAGCTGGGAGCTGTGGAAAGCTGCTGGTTGACTCTGGGTTTTTTTTTTTTATGATGTAGAAAACGAACTACAGGATTGGCCTGGTTGGCTGGGGCCTCTGTCTCCTTGGAGCACGTGCAGCCTTGAGGGCACAGAATGATGGATGGACCTGCTCAGCCAGTGGAGGAGAGGCAGGCATCTTCTTTTCTTGTGCTTGGACGTTAATTTGCTGTTATCTTGGAAGGAAGAGGAGAGAGTGAACTGCAATTATGATTTATAAAAAAAACAAACAAACCAACAATTTCTATTCAGACCTTTAAGTGACATTTTTAGATGTTAAAAGTACAAACTTTACCACACTCTTCTTTTTTGGCCTAACATTGAGGCCTTAAACCTTGAGGCTTCTGTGCCTGATGGAATTCTTGTAACATACACTTGTGTATCATATAAAGATACCACCCTGTTTCTCTTATGTATTCTTACTCTAGTTGTTTATTAAGAATGACGAGCACGTCTTTTCAACATGCCATTGAACAATGTGTCTTTATTTGGGGAAGAGTGAGCTGTGAGGGTGGGGGGGTCATTATACACAAATCAGTATGCAAACTGGTTGTTTTCATCCCTGTTTGTGCTTTCCAGCTCCACTCCGCTGGACTTCTTTCACCCCAACAAATTATGAAGGTAGAAGGGCATAAACTTCTGTTGAAGGACCTGAATGTCAGCTTGCTGATGGAAGCTCAGTGCCAGGCTAGGAACATGGGATCTGTGAGACCAGATCAGACTGTCCTAATGTTCTGTAGCTTTACCATTAGGCAAATCCCCCTCTCCCCACCTTTACAAATGCATCACACCAACAGCATGACGGAGGGGTGTTGGAGGGAAAAGGCCTTCCAGGAGTAGCATATGGCTTACTCCTGCCATTTAACAGCCTTTTCACAGTTTTTAACACAGCTGTGTAGCTTCTGGCATTGTTCATGATCATAAACCCCAGCCCTGTAGCCTTCCCTTGCTGCATCTTCAATGGTTGCTGTATTTTATGTCATTAACAAATAGTCTGCTCTTTCGAAGCCAGCAGGTAGCCAACTGTGCTTGAAATGGGAGATCACTTGCCAGGCTTGTTATTTGTGCCACCAGCTTCTTTGATGCAGAGAGATGACTCTGCTTCTTGAACTTGTCTTCCCTGCTTCTCCATCTCATGTCCCTTCCCTGTTCCAAAATACATAGATAAATATTTAAATATGTATTACAGTAAAACAACTTAAACTCGTGTACAGCCAAGCAATTTTTCTGAAGCTTCTGTTGACCAGCACCTGTCTGTGTTAAGGATGGTTAGCCCTCTCTATTGGTTGTGCACAGTGTAAATGATGAGAGTAGCCATAATGTCTTTGTGCTTGTGAGCAGTGTTGAGGTGTGCAGCTTAGAGAGACTTCAAGCCCTTGATGCTTTGTACTGACATTGGTGTTCCTGAGGAAACAGGTGTGCTTGAGTTAGTTGTCAGTATGAGCAGTTTGTTCCCTCTATAGTACTCTGTGCCCAAGCAAGTGCAGAGAGGTGAAGTAGCAATGCACTGTTATTTTATAATACCTGCACTCTAAAGTAGACTCTTAGCTCAGTGTCTGCCCTCAGAGCTACACTAGGGGGAAACAGCCTGGAGTTGGTGCTCAGATCCCAGTGGAAGATGATGCCCAGGTGGTGTGATGTGCCCAGTGGTGTGCCTAGTCTGACCATTGGGAGCCAGCAGCTGCCCCCTGGTAGGGTGGCTGTTGGGACTACCAGTATTACTTCTGCTGTCAGAAGCCTCTAATCCCTTCACCATATCTTGGTGACTGGAGTGTCCATCTTTGGCCCTAGTTTAAGTGTTTAAGGACATGGTTGGGGCAGACACCTGCTGTTTCAAGCAACCATGCGTTCTTGTTGCTCAGGATGCCTAACAGGCCTGCACAGAGTGGCTTTTCCATTCTTTTGGGCAGTTTGTCCTGTCTTCTGAACAGACTTGCAGAGATGTGAGAGGCACTGCAGACACCTGTGCTCGAGCTGCAGCTTGTGCTCAGCAGTAGGGCACGGGCAGCTCCCATGCCTCAGCAGAGCCTGCTGCCTTGGCTGTCTCCAGCAGGGATACAGTGGGTGGGAAACCATCTCCCAGATGTGCAGTGTGCCAGGTGCTTCACTGGGTGGCCTTGGGAGTCACCTCTTGCTCTGAAAATTCCCAGAAGCTGCAATAACTTGACAGAACGTTAAGACAGTTGCAGGTTAGGGGTGAACAGGTACTTCAGCTGAGCTTTCTGAGGAAACAATTCCATGTCACCTTAAAATTCTAGATTGTGCACTTTCCTTACTACCCTTAACTACAGGATGATCTAGGATCTTTGTAGAGGAAGAGTTCTCCTTGATCTTGGAATATACCACGTAAGAACAGGGAAACTTGGCATGGGGCAAGCTGTGGAGATCTCCTGGTGACTGGTTTAGTCCTGGTGGACTGAAGTGTTTCCATTATCTTCTCATTGTTTGGATGTACATAGGAGAGGGATCTGCTGATGTGGAAGTGGACTGCTGTACTGTTCTGTACTGTCTCATCAGAACGTCCACTGTGTTAACTTCATTCCCTATTTTTAGAGACAATCGATATACTGTGACTTAAGGATTATTTTCCTGGACCTGGCTTCTAGTCTGGCTCTCTGGAGCTAGTTAAAAGGTACAGTATTTCTAGAATATAAATACTATGTTCTTTGATAGTGAAGAACATGATCTGCTCCCTTGTAGGGGCTCGTAGGAAGATGTGCACAGAGTAGCACAGAAGAGTGCTGTGGCTTAGGGTTGCTATCCAAGTTCTGGGAAATGTTCCCAGTCAAACATGTAAAATAGCTTTTTAACACTTTCCTATAACCAGCTTGACTGCTGCTTAAAGGGCATTCATCCCCCTCGGCTCCCAGAGTGCCAAACTGCTCCTCTATGTGTGTACATACTCAACGGGAACTCTCCGTGCCCCATGCCTTGTACGAGACAGGCTGAAAATGCATCGACCTCCAAACAAATAGAGCTGAGAAGTCAAACCAGACCCTGTGCTGTTGGTTTTGAACTGTGCCCATCTTCTCCCTGTGGTATGAAAGGAGCCATAGAAAGCAGAGCGTGACTGACTGTTGTAAAGCACCTCACATGCTGACATGAGACTCGTGTATTGTCCAAGCTCTTGACACTACCAGTGTTGCTTTCTTAAGGAAACTTGTAGCCTCTTACATGCTTGTCCACAGCACCATTAGATTTTCATTTGCTTTTAAGAGTTCAAGCATTTCCTCTAAGTGGTACTGGCTGAGGCAGCAGAGAGCAGGCTAGAACGTGGTTCTTCACTCCTATCTAGAGGGGTGAGTAAAGGGAATGGTCTAAGCTTTATAGGGCTCTCATCTGTTGGCTGCTTCACTCTTAGAGGTCTGGACTATAGATAGGACAGAAGGTCTGAAGTAGTTCTTGAACTGTTCTTTCTTGGACAATAAAAGAAGTTACTTAGTCTGATCCCTAAATAAGAATCCTCTTCTGCACTGTTGCTCCTAGGGCAGAAATGAAGACAGTCTTGTTCTCAGCTGCATCATGTCTACTGTCTGCCTTGGCATAAGTAGAAGGGATGAGGCCGTCTCTAAGTCTCCTAGAGCAGATCCAGAAGTGGTAGAAGAGAGCCCTCTGAGCATACATGAGGTGGAGGACTTGCTGGTACTGTAGTTGCTCATCCTCTTGCTGGTCTGAGTGCTGCTAGACACTGATTGACTGTGCACAGTCCAGCCAAACTGCATTCTTGGGCAAGTTTAATAGTGACTGACTTGCAATTAGTGCTTGGACTCTTAAATCACTGTTAAAGTGGGATATCAACTGTCTTCCACCCTCTATGGGGCTTTTATCCCCATTTTATTGCTGAAGCTGCTCCTCTCAGATATTACAGGGAATGCACCTTATCCTGATGATTCACCCTCTTCTGTTTCACCGGTGCCAATGCATAGGAAAGAGCCCGTCTCTGCTTGAGCATCTTCCTACCTTAAGGAGCATCTCAAATCTCCTTCTGCAAGTCTTGCTGACATGCTGCCCCCAAATCACTGAAGCAATTGCTGCATCCCCTACTTGTCAGTTCCCTTTGTTGTGTGGCTGAAGCTCAGCTCTCAGCACTGCAGTCACGTTCCCTGTATAACCCTGTGCATGGCAGCCACGTTTGCCTGCTTCTCCCTTCTTCTTGGAGCTCATCAGAATGGGGTGGCAGATTGAACCCACTCACAGCAGCAATAAATTGTGTCTAGAACTTGAGGGAAGTGCAGGAGAGAAGGAGGTGGAGGGAGTGTCTCAGAAAGGCAGGGTCCAGTGGCAGCCCAGAGCCTCGCTTGGTAATGAGTGTGCAGCCTATATGCAAAATACGTCTTGTCTGTCCCTCCTGTGTTGACCCAGGTCTAAACAGCACATGTGATTGGCATCCTGCAAAGTGACCTTCAGAACTCTCCAGTAGCTTTGCCCCGTGAGTAACTCACACTACAAATCATTTTAAAGAGATGCACTCAACTATTTTTTTAATTTAATTTTACTCTTATATTCTCTGCTCTTTGTAATCTGCTTGGAAATAAAATGTTTTTCCCTGCAGCCTTTGTTGTAGTCTGTTTGAGAACCATTAAACTTTGTCTGATGTTTCCATTGGAACAGAAGCCAACTTGCCTGTTTACTGCTGTGCTCGTGCTGTAGTGCAACAGCTCAGATCGGTGTGTGCCTTCCAGGCAGGCTCAGTGGCCTTGTTTTAAATAAGGGTAGAGAGACCTGTGACACTGATCTTGGTCTGGCACAATGCCTGTGACAGGTGATGCTGAGTGTGTGTCCTTGGCAGGTGCTGCTTTCCTTCGGAAGGCTGCGGCTCTGATCCCTGTGTCTGGGATAACCATCTCACTGCCTTGACTGGTAACAGCTTTCAGTGGTGTGAGCCTTGATGCTTTACTTCCTGCACTGCACAGTGCTGTTCTTCTAGCTCCCTAGCCTGGGCAAATTGCAAACAGTGGGAAATGGGCGTCTGGATAGGAGAAATCAGCTCTTGGCTGAGAGTCAACCCAGAAGTAACTGCAGAGGGAAATACATTTTTTTGTAGCGGAATCAGGGAACAAGGATCAAACCCTCTAACGATCAGAGCTTTGCACTGTTACCATGTGGCTGTAGGGAGGAGATGGTGCTGATGTTGGTGTTCACAGTGATAGCGACAGGATTGTTACCAGTCTCTTGGCTGAAAGATTTAAGTGGCGTTGTGGATCCTTGTCACAGGCTCTGGGCTGGGCAAGGGTCACCTTTTCCTAGCTGCAGAGGGGGCCTGGAAGCCACATGTATCCTTGCTCACAGCAAAGGGGGCATCCCTGCTCTGAGGCCTGCACCTTCCTTTCCTGCTACAAACACACCCACCATCTGAGGGGAAACAACAACCTCTCTTCTGTGTGGATCATTGCAATGAGTTCAAACAAGCTGAGTCCTGCTGCTGTCCATAGCATAGTTCACTTGTTTGGGGGTTTTCCCCCTC